AACCAATCTCCATGACTGAAGTTAGTCTTGATTATACAATCTCTCAAATAAATAATAGTTATGATCAAATAAATGGGAAAGGCGGGTGTGCATTGTGGCAACCAAACGGAATGTAATTTTAATGTAATTATTTGGGGCGAGGGGAGGGAAAAACAATCATTGAAACCTTATGCTTATTACGACTCACTGAAGTGTATTTTTCTTCCCTTGACAAGGAGGTTGTCAAACTGGATAATTATGGAAATGCTAGAAATAATATGAAAGAAGACAGGAGCTGTCACAAAAAGTTTCTTTTTTTAACATTTCACCTTCTATTCAACTGTGCAATTCAGAAGCCACTGAGCTTTATTACTGTGTAACAAGTCCATAATGAATGAGAAAAGCAGTCATTTAGTGTGGGTTTCTATTTCAAACTATTTTCAGGCTATTGACACAAATTAAAGGAACATGAATTCTACTTAGTTCCCATGAAGTATTAACATACTTACACATGCGTACAAAGCAGCAGTAGGTTTTCCATTCAAACTGCGAATACGTGTAGCTACACAGCTCTGTCTGTGTGCACTACAGAAGAAGCAGCACCTAGCTTAATGGTGAGGTGACTTCTAGTACAAAGATCTATGTTCACAGAGTCATGTTACTATAGGTACACATTCAGCAATTGCAGGATGTTGCATTGCCAGGTTCAGAGATAAAGCACATTTCTCTTCATGCCAGTTTCTCTAGACATAGCCGTGGGAACCTTCTCTGTTTTTTCCTCATGTATTTTCTGGCTCCCCAAGATAGTCTGTAACTTTATTTCTATCTCCATTCTACAGACAAGGCTATGAACAATTATGAGTTACTCAGATACTCTTGTACCTCAGAACATGGTCAGAAGTAATGTGTAGCTACAAGGTCTGTTACAGGAAAAAATAAGGGTTAGATTTCTAAATAGATTCAGCCTGTACTACAGACAGTAGGATTCTTCAAAAAACTCTACAAATCTGATGCCCTCTGACATCAGAAATACTAAAGATATCAAATAGAAGTTAGGCACAAAAAGGTTTAAAAACTCTCTATATCTGATATTTTTAAGGTTTGTTACATCCTGAAAAATATGCCTCAGTTCCCTCCAGGTTTAGAAGCTTAAGACTCAATGTGTCTTAGTTACAAGATACCTAAACCAATTTCGAAAGGACTTCCACTATCTGTGGGGGGGAAATCTTACTGTGTGTTACATACGCACTGATTACATAAAGATGAGAGACAGAGACTCAGATTTTCTTTTGAAACAGGCACCATAACCAAAGCTCACAAGTATCTTATGCATCCAGCCATTATGTCAATTAGGAGCTGCACCAACAGAAAATAACAATTCCTTTCATTAGTATTTCTCATATATTTACATAATACTATACCAAATTTTAAATTAAGCATTTTTTTTTTTTTTTTTTTAGGGAGTGTGATCCAGAATATAGTTTCCTATATACATAATAAATAAATGTAATAGTCTACTTAATTTTTCAACACTTGTTAAATTGGTTAAAATATGATTTACAGCTGAACAGGAATAAAGGTAATGACAAATTTTCCTCAGCCAATCATATATGACAATACACAAATCATATATAAAGGGACAGATGACAGAATGAAAGCTCAGATTCTCACCTGTTATAAAGACATATGCATATATGTTTGTGTATACACACCTGCATGCTTATACTTGGTGCAGGCATGAGCCAAAATTTTCTATCAAGATGGACTCCCTGATTACCATAGGAACAGAATATGTTTAAGCACAAGATAAGAAACAACTTGATCTGCATTCATTTGCAAAGTTATCATCCTCATCCTAACTGAGTTGAGGTTTGGCATATTTCAAACTGTAATAAAATCAGAAGGCAACCAACTGTTTTTAGTATCCCAGAAACTGGCTCTTAAAAACCAAGTCTTCCAACCACTAACATGCTTTACGTTACTGATCAGATTAGAAACAACCAAGGTGATGAGCAGCATTCTTGGGTTATGATTAACCCTGTACACAGAAGTCCAAGTGACTTCCTCCAAAAATTGGGAAAAAGCAGTGGAGGGCACAGGAAGGGAAGAAACCGTTCAGTATGTGAAACACTTAACACTGAACAGGTTGTCCTGTGAAGTCACTAGGGTATTCTTCCATTAAAAAAAAAAAATCTACAGAAAAACAGATGTAGAGCAATTTCTTCTGTGAGAAAATGAAAACTTTATAATGGAAACAAAAAACGATCAGTTAGGTGTTTGTGGAAGAAAGAATGACCTGAACCCAAAACATTATCAAATTTTAGGAACATCAGCAGACTTAACTGGTGTCATGACCCAGCTACTTTGACCAGTGTAAGGAAGGACAACTCACACACATTCTCACTTAAGTGACTAACACGTTATAATGATTATGAATGGCATTTTGTTGGCCTACAGTATTCATCAAACTACTGGTTCCCAAAAAGTGGTAATCAGTGCTGTCAGTAAGATCAGTAAGATCCAGCGGATTTGTGAAGCCATAACTCTGCAATATTTTCAATTAAAGTTTCATTATAGAGCTCACCATAGACCTGATAGCCTGAGCAGTTTGGTAACCTCTATCATCCATAGCCGAGAGCTGAATAAAAGACATGTTTGACAAATATAAAAAAAAAAAACCAAAACATAAAATATATCACTTGGTATTAGAAATAATAATAATTAAAAAAGATGATGGGCAAAGGACAGGAAAAAAAGGAAAACCATCCAAAAAAAAAGTCGTATTACAGGCCATAAAGGTAGGAACATAGGCGCAGCTCCAGAAACTTATGCTTTAGGAATTGTAATGTTGTTTTGTGGTGTTACAATATGATGTTGACAGTAAAATGTTATTAAAGCAAAAATGCAAAATTTGTGGGCTTTGCATCCTTTTTCAGAAATAGTCTAGTCTCATGAGAATTATGTGAAAGAACAAGGACATTTGTCATACGGTGTTTCAACATGAAATATGGTCACAAATATTCCCTCTTCCCATATCTGTCAAACAGCAGTTTACTGTATCAGCATTACTGTCAAAAGGGAATATAATACAGAATAGCAGCCAGTAAAGTTTATGTAGCTAAAACACTAAAGTCAATCAGTCCTACAAATAGGAACTAAACAGTATTCTATATGTACTTCACTGGTATAATTTTAACGATATTGTGGTATAAAGGTTTGTGGTATAACATTTTCAAATCAGGATAAAAGTAGATCATACACATCACCATACACTAATAGAGAAAAAAAAAATTAAACCACACTATCAAATATTTAAAATGTGACTGCAACATTATTTTTTAAATATTAGCATGAATTTTTAACATACATATATTTGAACTACCTTTTCTTAATACAGAAAAAAAAATATTTAGAGATTACTTGAAAGAAAAGACAACTGCTTTTCAAATTCCTGGTATATCACTTCTGCTCTGATATGGGCAATGCACAGCCCTGCAGGCAGAGCACCTAGATGTTAAATTATTTTTCAGATCTATTACCTCATGAAACTGAAGGTATAAGCAGTCCTGTAACTCTGAGTGCACCATTACACCCATAACCTTTCATTCCCCATAAGTTGTTTTTTCTGGAAGGTAAAATATTTACAACACTATTGATCCACAGTTCTCTCACCTCTCACTGTGCTCTCTATTTTGAAACAGAACCAATGTCTTCAGCACCAGGAGGAGCTTTACCCCACCAATTCCAAACCCAAGGCTGCCCATGTTCTTCAGAGCAGGTTTACCTTAGCACAATTATCACAGCAGTCTGACTCACGGAAATGATAGGACAAAAAACAGGCACTAACCCCCATCTTCAAGTATCATATAAGGTGGTAATTTCAACAATAAAAGTTGTACGTATACAGTCAGTATAAACCAGAGTTATTCAAAAGGAGATAGTCCAAGCTTAGACAGAACAACTGCTGTAGTATCGCTTCCACATGAGTAAGTAGGATGAGGAAGGGGGAAAAAAAAGTTTAAAACTTTTTTTAAAAAATCACACTTAATGTTTCCCCAAATGTTAATGCAAAGAAAAGTGTGTTAATTTTCTTGAGGTCCTAAAAAGCTTCACGGATAAACTTAATTTAAACTTCTTCCATTCATGTGTGCACTATAGCCCTTCTCCAGGCCATCTTAACATACAGGCAGGCAGGTCAACTTTTCACAAACCAGCATATTCTAGAAGATCTCAGTGACCAAATCCTTGGCAAGAGCACGCCAACATAGATTCATTGAGTTAGACAGAGTTATTCCTACCAATCCAAATGAAGTATCTTCCTCTGTGGGTGTCAGTTTGAATCTTCTGTAGTAAACCATGCCTCATCTATTCACTCACATTCCTAGCTGGTGCTTAGCAACTTGTAATTCAAATCCAGGGCAAGTAGTGTATGTGCATGTGTCTGTATACACAGATCAACAGTCAAACTCTTCCCACTCTTTACAAACTCATCAGAATGAAAGACTGTGGGATATTTCCCTGTTTCATTCGATTAGAAACCACGTATGGAAAAAGTCATGGCTGCAACTCCCCCAGCTCATTACCATTGTAAAATGTTAGTGCAATTTGTTTTCCTGTACTGATGAATCCATCGGCAACTGGATTTGAAACCTGAATTTTAGTATCAGCTACCATGAAAATCCCTTGCATTAATACGCAGAAGGCATATTTTAAAAATTCATAGCAGTAATTTCAGAATTCATTTAATTAAAGAAACTCTTGAATGGCCATGAACATCTTAAAGAATCCACATAGATCATCTTAAAGAATTCACATAAAAAAAAAAAACACTAAAGAACACTGGAGTTTGTTTTTCTTTTTCTGACATATCTAGTCTGTGTATAATTTCATCAATTAGGCAAGAAAAATGCTAGATTCTCCCCCCAAACTGACAAATTACTGGACAGATGAGTCCATTATAAACTAACTATTGTAGTTTAATGATAACAATTGAAAATTTAAAGACACTTTATCTTTCTCACCTCAATGGTGGGTGGATCCTTTCTTTTTTTTCTTATCCATGCTGCAAAAGAAATAAAAATCAAATTGACTATTTCAAAGATCACAGACAGTATTAAAACTCAAAATTAGGATGAATTTGTAACAGAAAGCAAATGTTTATATAAAAAATTACAACAGAATTTGACACAACCTGGCAAGCTATATTATTTCCCAAAATATAAAGAGCCAATATGTTATTTCCCATGTCAATACCCTCCCCCACAGAAGGAAGGGGCAGGGGGGGAGGAAATCACCTCTATGCAGAGAGCTTGGGTGCAGTTTACATAACACTCTGGCTGCCAAAACAGGGCTTAAAAAGTAGGGCCCATGGCCCAGGCCCGTTCTTGACCTTGCTATACAGAGCTGAGCTTCACCCTGAGAAAACTACAAGACGACCACGGAAAAGTATAAAAAGCCTTAGGCCTCTCTGGAGAAAAAGGATTCCTGTATATGGCTCAGGCATTGTTGAATATGAAAACCTATTTACGTTAGTGCCAACCAGAATTCCTTCACAGGGATGAAAGATAGAGCCCCAAACTTGACTGAGGGGCTGCAGACCCCTGACTGCACCACATCCTACGGCGGTGTGGGATTACCCACTGCATTAAGGGGGAGGTTCTGTAATGGAGGAAAGGCTCCCTCCATCTCAGTCAACTCATGCTGGAAAAGAGACCAGAGGAATGAAAACGGTGGCAATAACAATTGCCCTGTGACTCATGTTTTCCATGAACCAAAATCTATAGACTTATGCCCACTCCCACTGCAAACACCAGTGGTTAGTGTGGGACTGACTGGAGGTAGCAAACCAAAGGGACCCCACTGAAGACAGAGAAGTGGCAGTCCATTGGGTCTTGCTTCATTCAGTTGATGAATTAGAGATAGCTCCGACTATTACAGGCTTTATTTAGACAAACAAATTACCTGACTGTGGACAAGGCAATTTCCATCACTCTTTAAAAAGTATCATTACTATAGCATTTTTCCATGTCTTTCCAATCCACACAATTGATAGGTACTGGGTTGTATATTTTGTAGACATTTGTCTTTTCTGCTTGTATTTTTCAAATGAACGAGTAGCAGAATGCAAGTGGCCAGTAATAAACAGAAGGACAAACATAAGGAAAGCCAGTTCCAAGTGCTGAGGCATGGCAAAATATTCTTTTGTATGTTTGTTTGGATAATTAAGACTTTTGTTACTGTGCTTGAAATTTAGAGCAAAAATAACATTTTCATTATCACCAGCCAAATTCCTGGTCTGACCTGTAGCTGTCTATAAAGTTTCACAAATGCTTTAAGAAGGAACTATTCCAACTCTTATTTTTCTAATACCATCTGTGCTGTATTTTAAGGGGAACTAGGGAATGAGTCAGATAGGAAGTACAAAACACTAAAAGCTGCACAGAGTCATAATGTCACCTCACTACGCAAAATGCAGTTACACATAGGGTGAAACACTAACACCACTCTGCTTCAGCAACATTATGAAACTGATTTTAGGAGGAATAGCTTCCAATCAGCATAACAACTTAATTAAAGGAGACAAAATGGCATTACATAGCTTGGAATTTAGTTACAATGGCAAGGCCAACAGCCTTCACTCAAGGTTAATGGTAAAATACCTGTAATGATACCAATATTACTTTTGGTTGTCTATCAGATGATACATTCTGACGATGTGTTCTTTCGAATACCATTCTCAAACACTTTATTAAAAGTAGTCCCTGCCAGCTCTTCTCAGAGGTCTTTTGGTTCTAACAAAGATTAGACCCAAATTTGCCATTGTGGAGAAGCCACTGAGCACTGGACAGTCAACATCATGCTTTCTGCAAAAGCTTTATCTTAGTGGAAAGAAAAACAGCCCATTAAGATAATCCAAAATACAACTAAATGACTTTCAATTAAATCTGTTGTCGTGGTTTAGGCCTGATTGACAGCCAACCACAATGCAGCAGCTCTCTCTCCCTTCCCCTCCGGCAATGAGAAGGGACAGAGAGCCAGGCTTGGGGTTCAAGATAGGACTGGGATGGGGGAAAATCCCCCTTTTATGATCACGAGCAAAAGGCAGACTCGTTAGGGGAAGAAAAAAAAAGAACATACATTTATTACAGACACTAACAACACTTAACAGAGTAGGACAGTGAGAAGCACTGCCACATCTTGAGAACACCTTCCCCCCACCCCTCCCTTCTTCCTGGGCTCAGCTCTGCTCCCGATATTTCTACCTCCTCCCCCAGTGGCGCAGGGGCAGGGAATGGGGGGTGCAGTCAGTGCTGCCACTTCCTTCATGTTCGGTGAGGGGAGTGTCCAAAACTTGTTCCCCCCTGCTCCATTGTGGTCCCCCTCTCACAGGAGACAGTCCTCCACAAACTTTCTCTGACTTGAATTCCTCCCATGGGCCGCAGCGTTCCCCACACTGCTCCGTCATGGGTCACTAACTTCCTCCGACTGGATTCTCTCCCACGGCTGCAGCCCTTCCCGAGCTGCTCCGGCGTGGGACTCCCCCGCATGCTGCAATCCTCCCAGCACTGAATTACAGCAGCAGGGCTACCTTTTTCCCATGAGACCCCGGCCTTCTTCGGGCACAGAACCTTGATCAGCCGAGCAGGAACAACAGGCTGTAAATCAATGTCTGTTCCACCATAGATCTTCATGGGTGGCAGGGGGGAGCCGCCCTGCTGTCTCCCCACAGGATACAGGGGGGTCTCTGCTCCGGCACACCTCCCCCCTCCTTTCTTCCTCCGTTCCTCCACTGACCTTGGTGTTCATGCAGCTGCAGCGACTCCTCCTCACAAGTCTGACTGCCCGTCACCACGTCCCTTCTTAAATACGTTATCACAGAGGTGCAGCTGATGGGCTCAATTTCCCAAACAGAAGTGGAGCTGACGTGGAGCTGGGGGAGCTTCGAGAAGCTTCTCACAGGGGGCCGCCCCGATAGCCCCCTCCCCTGCCACCAAAAAACTCCACCACTCACTCAACCCAGGACATCTGTAGAACTAGAAAATTTTGCATGTACCTGTATCACTTCCAAACATTTAAATTTTATGATGATTTCCAAATGCAAAATCTGGCAAAATGAGAGACTCAGTTGGCATGACTGAGACTGGCACTTCTCAGCTGGCAGCCTTGCAGACACTCTTTCTAAATGGACCAATAATGCTATTAGAGAAAATCATAGCACATAAGCCTTTCCTCCTGACATACGTTGTCTTTGTCCATATTCACCAACAGTTCCAATATCATCCAGAAAAGCAAGAAAGTGGTATAGATATGAGGTATAGTAAAGTATGTATACTAGTCACTAACCAATAAAAGACACAGCTGGAAAAAAAAAAAGCAAAAGTAGTAGTTTAAAATGTTTCATAAAAAATTAAGTTTTAAACCTCCAAAATTTAAGGGAATACTTTCAACAAAGTATTATCTTCTGTCTTGCTTATGTCATATGAAAATACAGTACTACTGGTTTCAATTCTACAGCTTTCAGAATGTACAAATTGCTTCATTATTTTGAAATTGCCAGTATTTTCTTAAAACACCAGCTGCATTTTAACTTCAATAAGATTACAGTCCGTGATTCTTAAAGAAAAATTCTTAAAATTTGAAATCCTACAAAAATTAAGCTGCAATTAGAAACTGCTGCTGAAATATAACAGTTACATTAGATTTCTTTTGCTAGCAGATGGGCCTTTTAGGCAGTTATTTGATTAATGATTTTCAGATGAATTGAATACTTCTATTAAAAGATTTTATCACTTAATTATCTGCCTCAGTTTAACAAGCCACAGACAGAACAGTGAAGGGTAACATAATGACATGTGTCCTGTGAAGCAATGAGCATTACACAACAGATTTTCATTCATTAATAGATCTCAATTAGTAGCAATACTCAAAAGCAACACAACAATCCTTAAGTTAGGAGTATTTCTCGTATCAAACATTCTATTATCAGACTGTACCTATTTAAACACAGAAATGACATACACAGTTATAACATTGTGCTATTTTTCTTTCTAGCTATAACAAGCATTTGAATGTGTGGTTTTATAGGATTTATCAACCCTCCTTCTTTCTAATAAATGTCAGGACTACAAATCTTCTGCAGTTTAACCCTAAATAAAACTTGCTGACACTAAGATTGGATACCATTTTCCAAATTACTACAGATAAACTCATTTTAACTTCTCTAATGAGCTGCATTAGAAAATCATTATTTAATGAAAGCTGCCTTCACTGCTATGTAGCTGAGGGAGGAATACAGTAACAAAATTTACTAAAATCTCTTTATAGCCATGAGATCAAGTTAATTAGCTTTAATATATAACATTCCCTCTGTGCAAATCCATTTCTGAAATATTCTATGTAAAGCACAGCTCAAGATACATTACAAGATTAAAAGCAAAGAAAACATCATCTGAATTGAGTATATTTAGTATATCCCACTTTTCACTTTTGCATCTAATTGTTTCATCAGTCTTTCAAAAGCAGTGCATTTTTCTAATAATTCAACTGACCACTCCTCAGTCTTTGGGGAGAAGAATGGGAGGACTCTTAATATATTTAATCTCCACCTTCTGTGAAAATATTTAAAAAGACTTTCCTTTTTTTTGTTTTGCCTTTTTTTTTTATGCTATCAACAATATTTTGAGCATCAAACACAACATCCCATAACTCAGGCATAAGAGAAATTAATGGTAACAATTAAAGAAAGAATGAATGTATACAAAAATATAACCAGTGATTTACTACTAAGTTAGCACTGATTTTAACAAAATTCAAGTAAATGATATCTTCAAATTAAGACATTTTGCATTCTCTTCGAACAATAGTCAGTGTATACAGTTTAGCAAAGGAAAAGCTCTCCCACCTTTCTTCGGGCTCTCCATTACACTTTTAGTCAATGCACATTTAAATTACTGAACAGATTTATACCATGGTTAAATATTTGTTGATGGAAACAAGGCAGGCAGGTGCTTTATTACATATTATTTGAACACTACATGTACACATGCATATACTTAATTAAAAAAGTGTCCAGTGACAGTTATAGCTGGAGAAGATTTCCACATGAACACTTCCATTTCCTACGCTAGCAAAACAAAATGCCCTTACCATTGCCAGACAAGATGTTTTAAACCCAGTAAAGTAGAGAAGGTAATGTGTGTACTGAGTGCAACCAAAACACACTTCCCTGCCCCCCACAGGTCTGGCAAAATTAATCATTGACTCCATTTCAACTAATTACACTGCTGCCTCTCATTTTACCTGGATGGCACTTCCTGCATTCCATACTTATTGTAATGATACTTTTTGTAAGGAATTTCACAAGATAACTGGACATTTCCTACCTTGAGACCATCACATTTTTTCATCAGCACTCATTTGCATTCTTATTAGTATACATGAGTTTTTCACTGAACTTTAGGACTCCTACTGGCACATAACACACTGTAATGAGTGTAAAAGTGGGCATACAAATTAACACTCCCATTAATCACTAAATGTTACCAGGAAAGACAAAAAAAAAGACTAATGGATGGGCAATAAAACGCTGCATGAAGCATGCAATTTCATGAATATCTGTAGGTATGCAAAATTACTGATCTCCTCTAAGAAGCACTATCACCATGTCCCGAGGAGGTAAAATGCACATTCTACAGCAGGTGAACATTCAGAACTAACATTACAGAAAGATTATCTGTTGTGTGCATCCATATTGCCTAGGGAAAAGAAAAATATGCATGTCCACTTTGTAGTAAGAGGCTTCACCTAGACAAAACCAGGTAATATTTGCATAGGGACCACAATCTAAATTAAAAACTACAGTACAAAACAAAACACGCTTTTGGATTTTTAAAATGAAAATCAACTTAATTTTCTGTATGCCAATAGCTAACACTAAGGGTAACACAAGGCATTATGATTCTATTCTTTTAACATTGAGCATGTTTTAGTTTTACAAAAGCCTTAATGGACATTCAAAACTTTTGTAAAATGCACAGATCTGAGAATTTAGGAAATTTAATCCTGTGGAGCAATTAAAACTAACATCTTCAGGAGAAAAATTCCAGGCAATCCCTTCAGGAGTAAACTGTCAGCCCTACATTCAGTAAAGTCTCAGGACTAATACACAAACATCCTCTCCGGAGTCTGAGAAACAGTTTGCGGAGATTGAACCTGTAAGCTGTATTATTGTTTTATCTATTTGCTTTAGAGCTTTCTATTTGGTCTTGTTTACCTTATTACATATTTATAACGATAAACACAGCTCCAAAGTCAGCCCCAGTCTACCAGCTCTCCAGGGTGAATGTCTTAGATATACAACGAGATTTAACTCAGACCCTTTTCAAATTTCACTACAGCCTGCTCCCACTCCTTGAAACAGTCGCTTGTCTCTGGTTTTGTGCAAGTTCTCCTCAGACAACTCAAGCCCTTAAGTATTTCCAGGGACAACACTTTTATTCATTTCAGTCACAAGAGATATTTTTCCAGTCACACAGTGGATGTAGGAAAACAAGGAGAGGGCAAGGGTGCTGGGATGACTGTTTTTAAATCAGGTGGCCATTAAGGATTATCCACAAGTGAAGAAACTGAGTCCTGGCAGAACAGAGACAGCACAGGTGAAAGCAGCTCTCTGCAGCTCCCAAGAAAAAGGAGATGAAATAAGGAAACAGAAACTTTAGCACAGTCCTTAAAGTGAAAAATCTGAGAAGGCTAGGCAAGGAGACTGCTATTGCTGAACCAGACAAAACTAAAGCGGAGAGGCTGCAGATGTCGAAGTGCATACACAGGATTATGAGAGAAGGCCCTGGGAGATGTAAGCGTGTGCCCAGCAGAGAGGATTTAGAACACTAAAAATCCACAATTTCCAAGAATAAAGAGAAAGCAAAAGTAAGAAATATTATACAGCCTTCTAACCTTATACTCCTCTTTTACTGTTCAGAGAAAACAGCAAGTATTTTAGAAATCCTTCTGCAAAGTCTCAGACTGTTTGCTGGAATGATCAGCATCCACGACAGCACAAATTATAAAGTGAACACCCACAGAAAGAATGCACTGGGAAATTTTCAAGAGTCTGGACAGAAGACACAGAGTGAAAGTTCAACACAGGTCTTGCGGGCCTGGGAAACTTCTAGACTAATCTTACAGAGGTAAAATTAGGGACAGAATTGTAATGAGCTTTTCAGCAAAGCGTGTCTAAAAATCTTACATGAAGCTGTTCCTACTCATATAACTGGCTTCTACAGTATTATTCAAGCTCCCTACTCTTTCCATTCTTTCCCGTTTCTTACTCATTGAGAATTTTTCATTTTACAGAAGGCAGAAATGTAGTGATGAACTGAACTTCATAGCATCTCATGTCTGTAATTCACACCCCAATATATAGCAAAAGCACAATAGTTCTTTCAACAGCCTCTATACCCACAGTAAAAGTACCAGTTTTGGATTTTAAAAATTATGTTATACTTCCACAAAATTGTTTGCAATGTTTAAATTGTCACTGGACAAAAAAACACTGGTTAGCCTTTTTTTGTGGAATTCCCATATTTTATCTGTCAGAAATATACACTCCACACCCATTTTGCTGAAGGAGTACATAGGGGAAAAAAAGATGCATGTATTTTTCCTTTCTGTTTCTAGAGAAATTCAGTACTTAAGAGGCAAAAGATTGTTACCTATCAGCATACTTTTCCTTTTTTCTGCAAATTCTATTTGGTGCTGACAAAATCACAAGAGAAAAAAAAGCAGTTACAAAGATGAGGAAGTTCAGCATTAAGAGTGTAAATGCAGTTCATAAAAATTGGACTGGCCAATTGTCTTTTCTTTAAAACAAAACTGAATAGGATGCCTTGGCTTGCAAAAGTGCATCTCGGGTCTGGCAGCTGCATCTTTTTAGGCAAGTTGATATTGCAGGGTACCTGACCCTTGAGTCCATGTACTGGCACTTGCCAAAAGCATCCCTCCGAACAGCTGTACCCTCCCATGCACCACACTGTTGAGTCACATGGATCTGTGCTGTTTCTGAAGAAAGATACAGTGCAGGCTTATTAGTGCTACACCGATTCCAACAGTCCTGAGGAACAGGTTTATAGAGCAAGTTGCTTCAACCAGTCTACAATGCTTTGTGAAAGGGTGACTAGCCCACACCTATCTGAGACAGTCTGACTGTTTATGCTGTTTCCTGTTAATTCCCGACAAGTGCAGGTAGAGACTGTTGGTTTGCATTTTTTGACTCAAAAAAGACAGCAGCAAATTAAACCACAGTAATACCTGTGTACAAGAAGGATTTTTCTTCCACAAATTCTTTCAGTCATTTTTTGAACTCATGCAAACTTCCAGCAAGCAGACTATTCAATGACAAGGAATTCCACAGTTTAACTGCATACTGATTAAAATTTACATTTGTTAAATGTTAGATTTGTTTAAACCTGCCAACTTCTCGGAGATGCCTAAGCACTACTCTCCCTCAACAAGCATGGAGAATGATGGGTAGACTCTACCTACTATTTCAGGGGTTCCTTGCGTATGATACAGAGTCCTGGATTTTAAAGTACATTTAACCCCATACTTGACTGGAGCTCCTACAGTCTCAAGAACCAACATACGCTTCCTCTCTGCTTTCTCCAAGAGCTGCTTAGCTAATCCTAAGGAACTTCTGTAACCTCCCTGAACTTCCTTCTATGTCCCAAATTTTCAGACAAAATTTTCATCAGTAGCAGTGGGAAAAAATGGTTCATTATTAACAGGTCCTCCAACTCCCTACAAGACTGTGCAAGGAACAGTATAGGAAACCAAATGCCACCATAAAAACAAACAAACAAACAAACAAACAAACAAAACAAAAAACAAACAAACAAACAAACAAAAAAAAACCAAATCATGGTGCCACCAATAATTCAACTGACCTGCAAATTAACACCGCTAAGAAATCATAATTTGGAAATTTAACACATTTAGTTTTGGTTATTCTATCAGATCCTCCTCAGGCACAAATATTTTCACCTTTAATAGGAGAAAGTCATGATCATACAGGCTTTATTTACATTTTTATTAAGTACTGATTTCCTAAATATAATTTCTCCTATTTGTAAAGGGATTACTTAAGAATTATTAATAATTATGCAGTTAAACAAAAGCCTGCATTACTCAAAATGAAAGATAACAGACAATCTATTTACATAGCCAGGCTTTCCATTAAAAATTGAATCTACATTCAATGGCAAAACTATCTTGAAATAAAACTAAAATATTCAGGATTTACCTTCCCATTCTGCTGGAAAGTCACCCATTTCATACTGATATGCTTGACGATTTATTGCTTCTACAAATCTTCTTTCTGGTCTAATCTGCCCTATGGAAAAAAAAAAAAGCTGTTAAGTATATTTATATATAATATTTAAATTGGTGATTACATTACTGTTTTGAAAGAACTGTACTTATTTACACAAGTGCAGTGGCATGCGCAGGAGAAAAATGATGATCACAATACCAAGAAAATTATTACCATCTAGATGTCAATTTGAAATGCTTGTGTTTCAGTAACTTTAACAAAAACTTCTATGTGCTACAGCTGACTTGGATTATTAACGACAAATATATTTCAGCCCAAGTAATCCACCTTAGTGTATCCCTTTGTCCTGGGTTTGAGTGAGTGGTGGGGCATTTTGGCAGCAGGGGAGGGGGCTATAGGGCTGGCCCCCTGTGAGAAGCTTCTTGAAGCTCCCCCAGCTCCAAGTCAGTTCCACCTCTGCTCAAAAACTGAGCCCATCAGCTGCGCCTCTTCAATAACGTATTTAGGAAGGGACGTGGTGAGGAGGAGTCGGAATTGTGAGGAGAAGTTGCTGCAGCTGCATGAACACCAAGGTCAGTGGAGGAACAGAGGAAGAAAGGAGGGGGGAGGTGTGCCGGAGCAGAGACCCCCCTGTATCCTGTGGGGAGACGGCAGGGCGGCCCCCCCCCACCTCAACACCCATGAAGATCTACGGTGGAGCAGACATTGATTTATGGCCTGTGGCTTCCACCTCAGTGATCAAGGTTCTGTGTCCGAAGAAGGCCGGGGTCTTGTGGGAAAAGGTAGCCCCCGTTGTTGTAGTTCAGTGCTGGGAGGATTGCAGCATGCGGGGGTGTCCCACGCTGGAGCAGCTCTGGAAGGGCTGCAGCCATGGGAGGGAATCCAGTCGGAGGAAGTTAGTGACCCATGACGGAGCACTGTGGGGAACGCTGCAGCCCGTGGGAGGGACTCACATCAAGGAAAGTTTGTGGAGGACTGTCTCCTGTGAGAAGGGGACCACGATGGAGCAGGGGGAACAAGTTTCAGAAGCTCCCCCCACCGAAGATGGCAGAAGTGGCAGCACTGACTGCACCCCCCACTCCCTACCCCTGCGCCACTGGGGGAGGAGGTAGAGATAACGGGAGCAGAACTGAGCCCGGGAAGAAGGGAGGGGTGGGGGGAAGGTGTTAGCAAGATGTGGCAGTGCTTCTCACTGCCCTACTCTGTTATGTTTTGTTAGTGTCTGTAATAAATGTATGTTCTTATTTTCTTCCCCTAACGAGTCTTCCTCCTGCCTCTGGCCATAATGGGTGATCTGTCCCTCCTGGTCCTATCTTGAATCCCAAGCCTGGCTCATTTGTCCCTTTTCATTGCTGAGAGAGAAGGGAGGACTGAGCAGCTGCGTGGTCCTCAGTTGTCCTCTGAGCTCAAACCACAACAGATGTTATAAAATTAATATTTAAATTTTTCAGTTTCTTTTACAGAAGAGCACCTCTTCTATATCCAAAATATCATGGGTGTTTCCCTCGCAGTCACTAAATCTGATATATCCGCATTTACATAAGAAGAACCCACTGAAGAACCTTCCAGGTCAAAATAGAGTCAAATAATGAATAATCCCAAACTTATGTTGCTCTATAAACAAATTATTATGCTTCCCATATCAATTTTTTAAAATAATATATATATATACACACTACTTTAAAGATCTCCATCAACCCCAGACTGTTTTTCACTGTTTAAAAAATTGTTATTTGACAAAGATTTCTCTGTTAACAAGTTTGCCTGATGTGTGCAGCTGAACCAAAACATGGCATACATGATCAGTGAGAGGATAAATGGGACCATCAACAGGGAATTGGATGTTTTTGATACCTCAACTGAGCAAGAGCCCCTGCCAGCTATAAATTATCAGTATGTTTTGCAGTCAGCAAATGGAAACTGGATCACCCTCTCACCCATGTGCATGCTTGGAGCAACCACATTACAGCAACAGTTCACAATTCCCCTTCAAATTGAATGAATCTCAGATGTCCATGAGAACTCAAGACCAGGACACTTTTGACTCCTTCATTTGCACTGTTTGCGTGGTAGGAGTCCATGGAAGAAACACTTTATTAATTACTTAGAGAATTTTTTTTTTAAATGCACAGACTGAATGTGCAGTCTTTGTTAGTTTAAGACAAATGGACTAAAATTCAGTTGCACAGCATTGCTGTGAACTTTATGATGAAACAAGAATTTCTAAAGCATACCTATTTACTGAAGTGCTATGTACTTTGAAGAGATTATACTGTACTTCATTTACTTACTGTGTTATTTCATCATCAGTAACACAACATAATTTACCTACTGGAAACAAAGGTTTCTAAAAATTTTTTCAGCAATATCTTAAAAAGCTCACAGAATAGATTCCCCCTTTCTTTCGTCTTGTCTGGTAACACCTCAGCAAACTCTAGTTTTCGCTAAACATGAAGCAGTACTTAAGTTAGCAAAGCAACTGAACTATCAGCAGTTCTTCACACAAAGCAGAAAAAGAGCTACTTTCCTAGAGGCAACAAAAAAGTAGATTACTTCTCTGTAGGCTGCAGGAGCGGCCTATCACCTTCAGAGCAAGACATGAAGTTTTCAGCTCTATTGGAGGAAAAGGGAAAAAATGGTCTGTTGTGAAGAAAGGGAAAAACAACCCTTTTAAGGGTGAACATTAATTTTTGCAAGCATAGATCCCTCCTTTGTATAGATCTTTAGCTGAGGGACCCTGTTCATTGGTGAACATCTTCATGTTACATCATGTTCAGAACTCCAGCATTTCTGCAATAACAATTTTCACCTTAGGAAAGAAGTCAACATTTTAAGGTAATACTTTTTTTCCCTAAGAATTCTGATTTTATTTTTTCAAAATTGAGAATTCTAGGATGTTAATTAATTTTTGCTGAGTGACAAATTTAAAACTTTCAATAGTTCATTATATTTATTCATATAATAAATCAACAGTCTAAAATAAATTACCAGAAGTTTAGTATTTGTACCTACTACCTGTCACGTACACATGTAGTTATATTTTCTCCAATAATCCATACACTTCAAGTCATCCAGAATTCTTTATGCTTTATAAAATCATATTAGAAACTCATTTGAGCTTTTAAGTGCAGCAAGTAAGGCCACAGGCTGCTTTGTTCTATGGTTCTGATTTCCATTAACCTTAAAAGAACCAGGATCAGTGATTTCCAGTTTTACGGTGATGCAGGACCAAGCAATATAAAACTTAAGTGCTGACTGAGCAAATCCAAAAAAGTGGAGTACCAGGCACTCAAGGTCAAAAATCATGCTCTGATTTTGCTATTTATATCTTATCAACAATACATTTGGCTTTACAAAGTCATCTGCAAACACTATTTTCACTCCAAAGGAAGATCTGTTTAGATTTCTACTGAAGGTCTGAAGTCAGGATGATTGCTTCCATTTTTAGGCACACATACTGTTAAAGGAAAAGACTCACGTGCAGTACTAGCCCTGCAGTCCCTTCTCACTTCCCAAAAGGTATGCCAAATGACAATGCCAGCATCACAGCCATAACATCCTTGTAGTATTTGTCATTTTGTATGAATTGCTGTTCCTACAACAACAGACCGTGTACCAAAATAACTGTTCCAACCTTGCTCCGATTTTCTATAGCACCTACAACTCATGTCCAATAATGTGTAAACAATTTTCTCTGTTTAATTAACTTGGTTAACAGACTTTACCAATACAATTCATTAAATATTATTTGTATCCCACTAACAAAGGACTTGACATGGTACAAAAAAGATTAAGGGTAGTTTCACGTTGTAACAGAAGCTGAAGATAGACAAGATAGACTTGAGTGAGTTTACTGACATCTCAGAAAGTATAGTCACGGCAAATTCAGAGCTTTGGTAACTTCTCCCACCTTATCTCTGAGTTTGACAGTCTTCTAGACTTAAACTGTGGCAGGTTACACTAGCCCAAATAGTGTATACATTTAATGAAGCTTTTAGTCAATATACCTTAAAAAACCCCCTATAGCCTAGGCAGTTTAAAGACGGATAAAATCAGACTTATGGGTCTGGGTGTCTCCCAGGAGAGTAAGCTCTTTGGGTTTAATTGTCATGAAATCACCAGAGAAGACGTCAAATTTTAAACATGAAATTTAGATGAGAGACTTCTAGCTTTGCCAGAGACATGTCCCAACATCGTATCTTTTGTTAGAAATGGATATTAACATAATAGCAGCACATCTGATGCTGTCCCAAAAGACTTCACTTCTCTGAAATTTCCATTGACAAGTACTTTTCCCATCTTGATAGGATCCACTGTCAGTTTCCCAGGTAAAGGGATATGTGTATATATAATCTTCAAAAACTTCTCTAGGATGGACTGTTAGTCCTCTGGAGAATTTCTCACTCTTGTAAACATGACCAAGACACGCTTATGGTATGGTTTGCCTGATTTTGTCCCAGATCAGGATGTCAACTTAACAAACCTGACTCTCAATGACATCTAGATTCTGCCCTTCTTACAAGCATATGCTAAAGTTTTTGCAAACAGGGCTTACTATCTAACTATTTACTAACTAGTAATTGATCTATCACAATGTATACATACTTGGCAAGCAAACAAAAAACAAATAAATCTATGTCCAGAAGGAAGACCATACATTATTCCTTCAAACAGGAGCCATAGACTTTATTTCTAATAAAACTTTTATTTTCTTAGTGTAGGAAAAATATTTATATGCATATGTAACAGGAAAAACTGCTCAATATTGTTCTTACTATAGTCACGTATGACTTGAAGTAAATTAAACATCTTATCCTATTAATTCAATATATGTTGCCTATTTTCCATAAATTAAACAAGAGAGGCTTAGAACAGCACCTTCCAAATGGGCAACAACTCAATCCTGCCCTATTTAATCCAACCCAAGTAATATTGCAGGGTAATCATACAGATTCATTCTAATTTCATATGCCAATTTGTATCTTTTGTCTCCTAACCAGAATGATTTTTATATTCTTAACTTATTTGTTTCTTTGGACAGAAATATTCTGCATTTTGCT